CCTCCATAATACCCGCTGACAGGACAAGAGGCAATGGGCACAAACTGAAACACACGAAATCTCATCTGAACACAAGATAACACTGTCACTCTCAGGGTAGTCAAACACTGGAACAGGTTGCTCAGAGAGGTTGTGAAGTCTCCACCTGCAGAGACATTCAAAACCTGACTGGATATGGTCTTGGGCAACCTGCTTTATCTGACCATGCCTGAGCAGCGAGGTTGGACTAGATGATCTCAAGAGGTCCCTTCCAACTTGAACGATTCTGTGATATGCTCTCAAGTTTCATTTGTGGTTTCACCAGTGCAACAGAAGAAAGTCAGGAAGTTAATTCAATTCCTTGACATGTACAGGAGGGAGAACGTTAACAGCTCATGCAGTTTCTGTTATGCCATTTCCCTCCCAACAAAAGCTCACTGCCTTAGTCTCTGGCATCTCTCAATGAACCTCTCACTAGGTGGAGTAACATTCCAGCTCTTGCTCATCTATACGCCTCCAGCAAAATTCTCATCTTTCTTCTAACTGCCCACTGTCCTCCATATTCACCACATACTTCCTTATACCCACTTCTAACCCTCCTATTTTGCAAGAAGTTTGCTCGTACAGATCTTTCTTTCTTGTCTATTTCATTGCATGAGAGCTCTGCTCAGCCAAGGCTGCACTTGTCCTTCAATAGCATGGGTCACTACTGCTGTTAACATTGAGTTATCACCTTAGCAATCTCCAGCAGATGTCAACTTCCCTGGGTTTTTCCCTGCAAGAGTTTGCTTGGGCGCAGAAAGTTCAAAGCCACTGATTAATTAGTAAATGCTTTGGAAACATCAACTTTTAAAGCAGGAAATGGGAAATTTTTCAAGACAACATAGGTAGGGGCTGAAATAAACTGGACAAGTTGAAATGTGCATAATACAAAACAGATGTCAACTGAGCTTTGAGAACACAGGAGGAAGAGAAAGGTCGCTGACTCCAACTGTGCAGCACAGACTCCCAGCTGCCCAGTGCACACACCATAGCATGGTGTGGTATCACAAGGCAGACAAGAGGGCTTAAGTAGCAGGCTGGTCACTGCAGCCCGGCTGGTGACTATAGCTTGCTGGCACTGAGCTGGCTTGTACAGTACCATCCTGAGCATTTCCATGTCCTTAGCACAGTTATTGCATAGCCTGAAAAACTTCCCAAAGATAACAGGAGCGCCTGCAAATGCAAACCTTCAGGCCCTCTGCAGTTTGCCAGGATTGAGAAACTGTAGAAGTAAAAATGCCCCATCTACAACAGAGCAAGAGTCAGTGTCAGCACAGCTAGTTCTCAACAAGGCTAGATGAGTGCTTCCTCATTTCTGAATTCATAATAAGCTAATAAAAATTAAAATAGCTTTCAGCGTGTGATGTCTGGGGGTGTCATGTTCCCATGATGCGCTAAACAAACCACAGCCTAACAGCTGCACTACAGGCAACAGCATAGCCTGAGCACATCCAGTGTACAGGCTCTGGAGAGTTATTTACCCTCACCATGTCCTGTGTCATATGCTCCACTAGCTCAGGATTCAGTTATTAGGAATCTGAAGCTCAGTCATTTTTGCATCAGGCTTAGTTTTTCAATGTGTGCTGACACTGCTGTTAGAAGTACTGGTGAACACGTGTGGAGAGAAGTACTTCCCAGAGGAAGACACCCAGACAAATAACTTCAAATATGGTCATAAACTTTCTCTGCTAAGCGCTGTAGGAATTGAGGGCTGCTTTACTCAGGAAAAGTTCACAGTCTGCTGTAGGTAATGGACTTTACTGAGACTTTCTAAAAGCTCCTGACTTCAAAGCCTTCATCTAAAATCCTAACAATGAAGTCCTGGGAGCAGAGCACAGGCTGTGTTTCTCTATGGGAAAGGTCTGCTGTCACAACCACTCTTACTTTAAGTCACTCATGCTGGGGCTGGCTGCAACCAAACTATAAGGCAGATGCTAATTTTTTATTACCAGCCAAGAAGAAAGTTTTCACAGTTTCACCCAAAAAGGGAACTATGTACACCTGGGGTTGTCTTCTCTTCAGAGGAAGCATCAGAACATTTGCATTTGAGGCCATTCACAAAACCTGGTCTGTAGAATCACGCGATGGAAGAGGTTACCTAGCCATTTTTTTCCCCACACAGAGGTAGGATCTGACACATTCATCCAAATACTTTTGCCATGAAACAAGCCTATCTTAAGTAGGTTCTTCCTCCACAAAAGTCAGAGTGACAGTGGATAGCTTGCCTTGGCAACTGCTCTGATGCGCACGAAGAAACAGCCTGACATTACTCAACTCTTGCATTCAGCTGACAGCTCACATCAGGTAGGGCTCCCATAACAGAAACAGAAGTTCAGAAATTCTGAATCTTTGTGTACCAAACTATTTGAAAATGCTACAGCAGACTCCACAGCAAATGAGTTTGGTTTAATCTCATTTTTTCTCTCAAATGTGTTCTAGATATACTGAAGTAAGTTTGAAATCAATGTATGCTTGTTCAAGTGAGAAAACAAAAAATAAGCTGATTTTTTTTTTATGTAGAAACAACAACAAAAATCCAAAGCACAATCTCCTTTTCAAAACACCATTTACATAAAACTAAAGCACAGGTTTTTTCAGCACGTGCTAACTTTCAGCAGAGATGACACCTCTGGAGAAGGACTCCATGTCCAACTGTGAAAAGTCAGACTGTAGCACCTGACCCCGTAGAAGTTTTGCCATAGATGTATGGCAGCCAGCCCACTAAACAGCCAGGCACACAAGACGTACTTCCCTGGCTGCTCAGACACACAGCATAGTGCTACCAGTAAGACTCACCTCTGTCCCCCTCCCAGGGTGGGGTCTGAGAAGTGCTGGGAAGATCCAGTACCCAGGTCCCCCGCACACAGCCCCCAGTGTGCCAAAGGGCAGCCAGCTGTACACAGAGAGCTCTAGCTCACCTGTGGAGAAACACTTGCTGAAGTGGAGGAAGAAAGCCAGCTCAGCTTAATACAACTCATTGACTACATCTGACATCAAAGAGAGTGGAGGCTGCTCTTTAGCTAACAAGGCTCTGCATTCAGCACATCACTGCCAACAAATATGCTTTCCCAGCATAAAAATCAGATTTTGGGTGCTTCCCTTTGACAAACACAGCTTCTCTATAGGGAGAAGCAGTTGACTCAGAGTAATTTCTAGCTGATCCATTCCCATGCCCACTCCTCCCCTTCACCTCAAATTCTCTTTGGTTTTTAATGTGCCCAAAAAAAGCAAGGTGGATGAAAGCCTCTCACTAGTAGGGATCCACTTGGCTACGCAAAACCTCCCACTACAGCGAGTCCATCTAATGAAGGACATAGACGCCCATGCTTCCCACTCCACCCACAGCCCAGGAAGCAGGAGTCTTTCTTCTGCCCCATGTTGTGCTTTGTGCACTCAGAATGCAGCAAGCCAGAAGAGACTGGCAAGACCTGGCTCTGGGAAGAGATTTCAGGATCAACATCCCTTTGTACTCTCACACACACTTCAGCTACACTAGAACTTACTCCTGCTCTGGCCTAAAATAACTCTGACAGTCCTTGGACACGTTAAGTGAAATCATTAACACCAGTAATCCAGGGAGATGTTGTTTAAACCTCCCTAACTTTGAATATCATATTTAAAATCAATAAAATATTGGTGCTATGCTCTAGACCCACGTTTGGAGGAAAACAGTAAGTAAACTTTTACTTTGGCCAGAAAGCGTCAGAAACACTAATTTAATCTCTGGTCAGTTTTATTTTTCAGAGTACAAAAGCTCAGCCACTGTTTTCTGTCTTCTTCAAGGCTGAAAGCAAATGAGCCAGACTACTTTAGCCCTAGGTTGTCCATTGGGAAACCGAGATGTTTTAAGGGTGTTTGAAAGGGAGATGCAAACTTTAGTTTATGCAAGTTTTTAAAAGGTACTAGGAAACATCTGTTGTGACCTGGTTACCTGAGAATGCCATCTTCAGCACCATCCTTAAGTCATCCTTTTTTCAGGGGGACTATTTTGGCCAAGATCCTGACTTTCAAAATTTATTTTTACTGTGATAAATTTGTCATCATGATTATTGCCATTGTTATCCTGGCATAAAGCACCTTTATGTGCACAATACCAGACACACTAGGAGACTGCACTGCCTCATTTATGCTATTAAATACAGATAAATCTTAATCCAAGATGCAGCCACAGGACTCCAGTCCTGCTAAGGCTGACAAAGAACACTATAACCCTAAGTATGGCAGTGTCATAAAAACATCCTGACCAGCACGACTCCCCAGAGCTCTCCACCTTCACTTCAACAGAAACTATGAGAAAGGAATACCACACACTCCTCTAGAGTTTAGGAAAGTTCACACTCAACTAAAACTCAGTACATTGTGCTTCTGTAGTCTCCAGCTGTTAATACTTCTGCACTAGTAAGTCCTCTGTGTTTATTATGAGGTGATTACTTTAAGACTGGTTGGGTTATTTTTAATGCCATCAGTGCAATTCTCCAATTTTCCCTGTCATTCCATCATAGGTAACAAGCTGATCTGCTGCCACTATGGTTATATCTCTGACTTCAGGCACAGCGCTAGAGAATACATACTAGACAACCTTTTTTTGGTTCTGGTATGACAGAATGCAAGTCTGAAGGAAAAGATAATTTTCCATTGGTTGGGTCAATAAATTGCAGGGCACAATATTTACAGGCAGAACTTTAAAGATACTCAGTTTTTGTTTTCGATTTGCATTCAAAACCAGGCACCTAAGATAACCTCCAAATTCTGAAGTTCTCTGTGAATCACTGGTAATCTCTCCTGAATTAGGGACAAATTGACCAGGCACAGAAAAACTGGCTTGCAAAAATTCCTAGTTTACAAGGGTTGTGCAATTTGCTATAGTTTTGTATTTCAGTAAAACACCTCGCTAGTGTTAAAACAAGGATAAACAGGATCACATATCTCCCTCCTCCAACCCCTGACCAGGAAGTGCAACTCCACAGCTGCTACCTTACCTTCTGAAATAGCCTTCTTGACAGCTGCAAGGTAAGCATCAGGCTCATCATCATTTGTGAGTTCTTGCCACTGAGACCAGTCCTTGAAAAAGGTCAAATAGTCATCACAGTCTGTAACACCGCAGAACAGCTTGACTACTTTGTACGGGGGCCATAAAGCTTCCTGAAGGCTCTGCAGGACGGGAGGGAGATAAAAACTCTGCACCAGCTCAGCAGATAGCAAAAGGATGATGCTCCGACTTCTGTTGAACAGGTCCAGCTCCTGGTGGGAGATGGCAGACTCGCCTTCCAGCTGGTAGCTCAGAATCCGATGCTTTCGAACGTGCCGAGTAAAGAGGAAGAGGTTCTGGAGGTACTGACACCATTCAGTGGCGTCACTTGCATACACAATCAGCACATCATATCCTCTAGGGACTCCTGTACAGGTGCAAGATGATCACAGGGAGGAGGATTAAATTCAAAGCAAGAACTGACCCACAGCTTTGCAGTAAAAAACCCACAGGGTTGTCCCTATAATTAATGTCAGAAGCTCCAAAACACTTCAAAAGAACAGCAGATATATCCAAAGTGAAGTGTTCACAGCCATAGAGCAATTCTAAGGGTGGCTGAACTCCTGCTTGCATTTACCCCACTAATAAGTACTTTTTTCATTCTCAAAAACCTTCCTATGAAGAAGGGGATTTCCTATGTAGTTTCAAGTGAAACAAACCACATGTGGAGATTTACAGATTTAAAGCATGTTGATAGAAAAAAAACCACAAAAACCCGACCTCCAAAACAAAATAGCTTGAAAAGGGGAGTTCACCTTTGCCTGTGAAGTAAAATAATTTTAGGGAACTATAGGGTCTCTGCAACACAACTGCAGACCATTACGAGCTCAAGCGGAGTATACACAGAATACAGCACACCTAAAATAAGAAAGGCCTTTATTTAAGTGAGGTTGGTCCCCCAACGTTTACAGGAAGTCACTATGGCTTCCATGGTGTTAGACATTTGCTCTCATTGCAGCAGAAAGCAAACTGCCTGTAAAGTATGCATGCAACTGAAGGGTACACCAGCCCCAGTGTTTGCAGCACAGCAGCTCTACCATTCAGGCTTCAGACACTTTGCAAGCCTGTGTTAGAGTCGTTCCCCCAGAACTGTCATACAAAGGTTTCCCAACCATTTTGGCATGAAAAACCCTCTCTTCAGAAGGAAAGAACTAATACAATAGTGGTGGCCATAACACAGCCCAAAATACACTTGCCAAAACTGACTTACTCCATAGTTCTCTAGAGACAGCTCCTACCTACACACCCCTGTATTTCTGTGCTCTGGCATGAAAGCACTTTTAACAGTTTCCAGCTTGCTAAGATCACCTGCAGATTGAACCAGTATGACATGATGCAGTGCTCTCCCACTAATCTCAAGACAACTTTTAAGTCTAAATTTAATTTTTCCATTCACCTGTGAAGAAGTTTGCCCAAAGCTGATGATTACGGCTCTGGTCCCACGGTAAATTTCAGTGCTGAGCATTTCAAATCATATTAGCAAATTGTCGTCTTCTAATTCCAGTTTGACTCTTTAAAAGTGTCAACATTTCCAAACCATCTCCATCCAGAAGCAAGCAAGCAAAGGCAGATTTTTCTAATTAAAGTAGAAGACAATGCCTAAAATTTGGCATGCCAAAAAGAGCATCTGCAGAGAGTGAATCTACCAGAATTGAAGATGACAGTTTTGCAGTCACCTTATTAAAATTCAACCAAAACTTCTGAATAGCCTCCAAAGACTCCATTCTGCCACCTTCCCCAGAACCTTCATTAAGAAATGAAGGCTGAAATGATGTCTAGTCTACAGTACCCCAGCTCTAAACCATACAATTACCAACTTTAAATTGTAGTCGAGCACAAGTGGTACAGTTGAGAAGTAAAGCGTGGAGATGTGCTCTGTGCTCAACCAATAGTGTTATGGTTACCTGCATAAATGGAAAGTCTCTAGCAGTGAAGGGATAATGTCCTAGCTATGGAGAACACGGACACTGCATTTCAGCAGCATTCACTAGGACGGCTGCATGTTTCTGTGTGAATACAGCTCCTGAACCCCAGAGGGAGGATTGTAGGACACAGCATTCTCAATGGAGGGTATCCAGCAAACTCATAAAGCAAACAAACAGACACAAAGCCTCGGGACCTTTAAGCTAAGAGTGCGGAACTGCTGTGAAAAAAAGATGGCTTTCACACCAATGAGAACACCACTATTGCCAAAATACTGCTCTGGCTGAACATCACCTGACAAAGATGACTGAATCACATGAACAAAAACAGGAAAACCAAGCAGAATTCAGGAGGTCAGTTATTTTATCCTAGAAAGGGAGGAGTACCAGAGACTTCTGCTTCCAGTACCACAAGTTGATTTATATGCAGTACAGTGGGAAAGGGCAGCACAACTATCCATGCACTGCAGCACATCCAGCTGAATCTGACCTCATCAGATGAGGAGACGATGCAGCAACTCTCTGAGGTGTGCCCAGGGCTCCTAAAGTTCTACCCTGGCACTCTGTGGGAGAAGTCCCACCTCCGGACTCCGGGGAAAGCGGCAGTGGCCTCTAGGGCATTTTAACATTCTGTAAAATGGAATACCTAATCCTACCATGCATTTTTAAAAAGAGCACAGCCTCCACAACTAAACCTGTTAGCAAACAGACCCTTCTCCAGTCTTTCAATGAAAGGAAGCACCTGTGCTTGGAGAGGACACAGGGTGGGGGAGCCACTGATTTTAAACATGCATTGCACTGTAGGAGCACTAAGTATCTGAGAAGCCTCCCTTCTCCGATATGTAGGCAAAAGATGCAAACTTGACAGACTCTCTGCAAGTTCCCTGCCAGCATTTATATCCCCAGAGACAACATCAGCCAGAGCAGTGTAGCCTCTGCACCCAGTAGGAAGGAGCTTCACCTAGTGTTTAGGAAAGGTACCACTTCCCCAGATAGCACTGCTCTACCAGCACGGCATTCCCCTTAACAGAGCCGTGCCAGCTCTTCTCAGGCCCTCGCACCTCAACTCCCATAGCCTTTTACACTTCTCGGATAAACTGAGGAACAATGCTTTTAAAAGGAGAAGCAAGAAATAAAATTACTGACTCCACCTCTAGTGCCAAGGAAACTCTCTATGTTCATAAGCAAAAATAGTGGAAGTGGGTCTTGAAGAGCTAAATAAGCTTAAGTCAGCAACAGGACTGTTTCAAAGAAAACAAAAATCTAGAAATAGTTTCAATTGCAACATCCCTTTTTAAAAGAAGGATGACACAGTACTCACTTTCCTGGATCATGCTATTCTTTGTCTAACCAAATACCTCCCTTTGCAGCACCAACTACTGTCCAGTCCTCAGGGAAAAGTATAGTAAACAGAGAATACAGAATGTTTCAGGAGTTTTTCCCACAACTCTTCACGCATCAGTTACAGAAAAACTCAGAGAGCACACTTCAAGGCACAATGTATACTCTGCCTATTGTACACATATAAGTAAATCCCTAGGTGAACACCGAGTATTTTATTTCTTTAAACCCTGACTTTGGATGCTTTGACAATGCATTCGACAGGCTGGTTTTGGAAAAACAAACACAAGGAAGCCTTCAATTCAAGTAAGAAAGATATGAACCGTATATGCAATAGCAAGATGAAGAAAGATTTGTGTCAGCCAACCACTTCAAAAATCTTTCACACTCTCAAGTGTAATCTAGTTTAAATTTTAACAATACCTTGTTTCTGCATTCCTATAAAAGTGACCTTTGCTTCCGTTTACAAAATGTCAGCACTATTAATATTGCAGGGCATGTTTATCTATTTATTTCACAGAAAAACACCCAGGTGCTGTTCTGCTGCAATTTGCAATGATAAACCATAACCTTTGGACTCCTTTCCAGTTGTAACTGCCTCTTCAGTGCTTAGTTGCACACTCCATTACACAGCAATGATAAAAGACTGATGAGATTACAAACTAGTACTGTAGAAATGCCTAAGACCTCTAATTGAGGTGGAAGGCCCACAGACTAAACAGCACAGAGACAGAACATGATACAAAGCTTTCCCTAGCTTATAAACTGCACGCAGAATGGAAGGGGATGAAGCAATTCAGTCAAAATCACAGAAGGCCCATGGCAAGAAAATAAAAGTATCCTATAGTGATAGACTATATCATGCCTTCATAGTCCCTCTCAGAGAAGCAAACAAATCAGATTTATCTTTGGACCATGTTTGGGAGTAGTGAGGTGACAATGTTTGAGTACAGAGCAAACATGGGATAGTGGTTTATGGCCATATCATAAGGTTCGGATTACCACTGAAATAGCTAAAGAATACTACAGGAAGCTGCCATATCAGCTCTGGGTAAGACCACATCTTGCCCACTTAACACTTCTCAAATTTGAATCAGATGTCATCAACTGTTACTACCTATTATTTCATTCTACAAGCCAAAAGGTTTGACATTTTTCAATTTACAGATCATAAATAGTTTTCCATTGTACTTGTAGGTCCCATAAAGAAAATTCAGGGCCTCTAATAATACACAGCTTTTCTAGGTATTTACACCCCTCGCCTAAGCAGACCATGACTTCTCATTGCCCAAAAACCAGGTAAAAAACTAACAGACAAATCCTTTACTCCAACTCAGATGATCATATGCAGCGGCAAGCAAATCTATTTTCATCTGCTAGATCAAACCCACCTCAAATTTAGACTAAATGAAAAAGCGCTACACAGCCTGTCCTCAGTTTACTTTGGGATTCATGTGTATGGAGGATACACAAATATGGCAGTCCAAAATATCAATCTTTGATAGGAGGGATGCACTTCCTATGAAAGATGATTGCCTACAATATAAATGAAACCCAACCCAAGGTGTCTTAATAATCAAATTCTTAAAAGAGAGCATGCTTCCAAGAGGCAGAGGTCCTCAGTGCCTTTCATATTTCAGTGTCTGAAGTGTTTGTATTTAAGTGATGTATGAGGAAATGAATGCATTCTTTGCCTAGCTGGAATGCATAACAAAGTAATAGTGATCACATGCAATAATTATTAACATCCTAGTGAGACCTCTCACTTTGACTGGAATAGAAAACCATTTTAAATACAGTGTTTCAAACAAGCAAGAGGAAATAGCAGAATCAAAGTAGATAAAAGTTTTGCGAATCAAACTTACGTGATAGGAACACAAGATTTGCATTATGATATGCGAACCTGAAGTTGTTCTACTGTTAAGAGTCTCTGTGAAATCACCTTCTGTTTATAAGGAGAAAAGTAGTTTTGCCCACAAGTCTCCCGAGGCCTCCGTTTAGCTTATTTTTACATCACAAGGAGATACGCGTCAGTGAAACACTAACGTTACTTCATACCCTCAGAATGGCACGTTTTTCCTTTTTTAGATAAAACACGTACACTTCCCTGCAGGGAGGGGAACTTGCAAATTGGGCACTAGCTAGACTTACACAATAAACGCTAAACCTCTCTCCCCCTGGAGTTTGCAGCTCCTAACCAGTTTTACCAGCCCATGCGTCGTGAGGTAAAACATTCTCGTTGATGGCAACCTAGCTCAGCTTCCTTGTGATACTGTGCCGCGGTGGCAAGGGGCATCAAGTCATACCCCAAAAAGGAAGTATGAAAATGCAGTGGGATAAAGCAGTATTTAGGAAGAATTGACTTCTCTACAAACCATCACAGAAAAACATCTAGGTGGTAAAGGCTGAGCAGACACAGATTCCTCTACAGAACACCCTCCCTCAGGGCTAAGCTGCCAAACCGAAGAGCACTCCAGACCCAGGAGAGCTCTGCCAGCACCTGCCCTGAGCTCAAGCCAAGTGAAGCAAGATAAGGTAGCAAGCGCAGCAGCCTGGCTGCGAACAAAGGAACCACCGCCGCTCTGAAGAGCCGCCGGGGCCCCCCTAAACTCGGGGAGAGGACCTTCCTTCCCCTTTCCCCAGCGGCGGAGCGCCAGGGTCGAGCAGAGCCGTGCAGCAGC